GGCAATGACACACGACAACACAACAAATAATAGCTAAAAAAAGTGGAAATAACAAGATTGACATGCCAAGATCCATAGATATTTATATATCGAAGGCTCTTTACCAGTCGATGTATGTCTACTGATCATCCGTAGATAAATATCTATAGCGACATGGTGAGAATAGGGCAAAAAGGTTTTCCTTCGATAAAAGCCAGATCATTCGATATATATCGAAGGTGATATAATATCTATGCCGCGAGAATTGGGCCCCTGGTCTGAACTGGGTCCAATCTCCTACCCCGATGTACTCTGGAACCCAACTCACCAAAAGAAATACTATATATATATATATATATATATATATATATATATAGGTAATGTTTTTTTACTTTGGTCTTTGAAATATTGGAAGATTCTTCCCCAGACGGGCACTCCAATTTGAGCGAAAATCTCGCTACTACATAACTGCCAATTAAACCAATTAATTTTATTTTAGTGCAAAACATTGTAAAAATATTTGAGTTTTTTTGGGTTACCTTACCCAAGCGTTAAAAACGGGACCCATTTAATGTAAATGTATTGACAACAATATCGATCCCAAATAAAACAGTAACAATAACTTTTAATGATTGCGCTAGCGTATCCAATAAAAATATAAATTTGTAGTTAATTATTTTTACTTCATTTCACATGTCTTCTTTTAATTAAATATATTCGTTATTACATAACACCGTCTCTTATTTATTTTCTCATGGAAAGGGGGTGAAAAGTAGAGTATATGACTCTAGGGCAAATTATTTTTCCCTCGGGCGATGTACTTTGAATCCCTCGCTGCGCTCAGGATTCTACTCTAGAATCTATTCTAGAATCCTTCGCTTCACTCGTGCGTCTTCTCTTCGTCAAAGTAGCGCCCTCGCCATAAAAATACTATTTTGCTCCCTTGTCATACAATCTACTATTTTCTATAAATGGAAATGCGTTAAATGCAGTATGACTTTTTAATGCCTAATGCGCAAGTTTGTTTGGAAAATCTTGTTGGAAATGTTTGTTGTAACTCGATACTCACTTGAAAATTATAAGATAGTCTTTTTTGCAACAGTGGCATCTTGCATTTCAGACACATCACCGGACGAAATTTTGTAAAGTTATTTAGGGGGGCTCCAATATAAAGAACGTAATATTTTGCCTTTTTTTTATTACTGCTTATGATTTATGATTAATAACGGCAACAGGTAGATGCTTAAAATATTTGTAGATTCACTATAAAAATAAATAATGAAATTAAAATTAAAATGTAATAGAGGGCTCCCTTCAACAGACGTGATTTTTTGCTGTTTTTGCACGATATTATAATTTAGTTAGTAATTGACGACGTCCGTGGCCGAGTGGTATATACGCTGGATTTCAAGGTATCACCACTCAGAAGTCCTGGGTTCGAATTCCGGTGAAGGCAAATGTTAGTATTATGAATACGAGCATTTGTAACTTATTCATGGATGTGCCTGTCAGAAATATATTCCGGATAAAATATGTATAGGTATGTATTCTATCCGTTTCCCGAGCATCCCAGAACACAAGCCATACCCTGTATGTAGGGCCTGTGCCCCACCAGTGGGGACATTAATAGACTGATGATGATGATGACTCAGGTCTACAGTACCTGAAAGCTGTGAAAAAAACAAATTTCCAACATAATGGGAAAACGATATGGCCGTTTATGATGCGTACCTACAAATTTGTACGGGACCCTTGTTCGGTTTTTTTACCACGCATTAGGTCGACTTGTATTACTTGGCGGCTATTGGCATGCTTCACTCACGATAAGACGAGGTTACGTCCGTCTTTTTTTCAGGTCCGTGCCGACAAGGACTTATTTTATTAAACTATGTTATTGATCTTGAAACTGTGCATTTATTTATGTTCAAAGTTATGACATGTTGGCTGTCTTATTATCCCACCTAGTTGCGTACATAGATGTAGGATATAGGTGTGTGAATGGAGACAAAATTGTGTCCGCCTATTCAAAACGCGCTAAGGGCGCTTCAAGCCCGAGCGCTACAACGCTTCCTCAGTAACGACCGCCGAGAGCACTCGATGACTCTTCGACTTCGAATAAATTAATACTTGGGCGTCGCTACAATATCCAAGGTCAACTGTCAAGGCTTTTTTTATAATCAAACTGGCTTATCAACCGCGGATGAGACAGCAGTTACGTGAACACTTACAAGCGTTTATTTTTAACTTGCGATGTTCGGTATATAAGTACCTAATTTAAACGCTTCAAAATAATATTTGCGAATATATTTAGAACAGTTGTTGAGAAACAGGAGAAAGCCGATTTACTGGCAATACTCTTTGCAGCTTACTCTTGAATCGATGAATGCAGTGCACTGCCACCCACGTGATATTAAAATGAGGCAGCGTAATCGGGGCCTAATTTACCCAAAGGCTAATACATAAAGCTAGAGCTAGGGCGCAAGGACCAAGGCGCAAGGGGGCGACCGGCGAGCCCGGCGCTGAGCTGAGACTTACATGATAATATTTGGTAATTTTGGGATAATAATAAAATTCTTGCGTGCGCTCTCACACAAACGTTTCAAAAACCATAAATGGGTGCAACATCACAGTAATAAAAGTAAAGGATTATTTATTCACTTAAGAAATTCAAGCACAATGACTAGTGGGGGCATTCCATAACCAAGAAGTTCAGCTATAAGGCTATCGTGCCAAACCTTGTCAATGGTCTTAAAAATGACTAGCGAGACAGCTAATGCCTCGCCATTTTTCTCAAGGGCCTCATTCCAAAGGTTTGTGGCATTAGAAGAGCCCCAGTAGAAAGGCGCAGGCAAAATTCACATTGCCGATGACTGAGAAAATCATTGTCTTCCAGAAATGACATCAGGTGTCTAGTTAGAGCATGCTCCTTCACCTTAGAGAGGATAGAGGTAATCGAAATTGGGAGTTCATTAGAATGGGTCAGCACGACTGCCTTTATTGGGTAGAGCCGTTAACCAGCTTCAGGCTGTCGATACCGTTCCAGTCTCGAAGGACAAGCGAAACAGACGTGTCAGAACAGGATACAATTTGGCTGCACAGTTCCTCATTAATGGCAGGAATACCATCGGGGTCACTGGTTTTATTCAAATCTAGATTGCGCAATATTTTAGACACCTCCTTCTGATGAATGCGGATTTCAGCCATTTTACATTTGCAAAGAGGCCAGGTTTGGCGTTCCTTAACCCTGAATCCAATGTGAAATATCTACCGTATAGAAAAAGAATAAAAAATTCATCATCCTTAAACTAATAAAACCTAGATTTGCGCTTTCACGGCAAAAACGTCCTTCCATTCCTTCGCCATTCCTTTCTTCAGGGCACAACACTGGCGCTGCAGAGCAACATCACCATTCTCGGTATGGGAGTTCGTTTAGACATGAATCCAAAGGAAGAGTTACATTGAAACCATGATCCAAACAGCTTCACGAAAACTCAGAATCTTGGACAAGATGCGGCGTTTTTTCACACAGTGTTCGTTGTACAACAAGACACAAGTGGTGGTCGTAGAACATTGCTCACACCTCTGCGATGGCTTCTCCATGTACTTTACTCCATCGAGTAGGCTGCCCGCATCATTAGCGGTGTAGATGTAACTAACCACTCCGAGTCTCTACATTCTTTTTTTTACACTTATTTATTTATTACATTTTAAGCATTGTTACGTAGAGGATTTGATAGTTGGTAGAGTAGGTCCATCCGAATCCCGGAAAAGTCCCAGAACATGTATGAAGTCGCCTAATTACTAATCAAAGTGTGAATAGGGCCATAGTCTCTAACTTTTAAATAAACCGAGCAGTAGACACTGGCAAAATGCACGATGCAATTGCCAAAAAATGGCGCGCGACGACGACGGACGAAGATTACCTCAGCTGTATTCGCGGCTGCTCCCGGCTGTATTCGGTATCGGCTTATGTAGTATCTTCGGTAAGGAGTTGCGAGCTGAGGTTACGAGAGACTTTACATTATTTTATTTGACATGTTATTGTTTTGAAGCTCTTATGTTTTATAGTTATAGATACGTCATACACGCTTCTAGTTTGGCAATACGAAAGTCAGGTAATTGCCCGACTTACATTCAGTCGGGCACGCTCTTGCGCCGCGGCTACACTTCGCTACAACTTGTAATTTTTTTACGCTTATCTAGACAAAAAGCCCTATGTGTGTTTTTTAATAGTATACTTACACGGGAACTATTACAGATAAGAAAAATGTATGATTTTTTTTGTAAGTACAGTTTTAAAGAAATTAATGTAAAAATATTTAGTGTATACTTGTTTTGGCAGTTGCTGACACAGTTGACACGTGGGGGCTAAAGAGCGAGATGTAATGTGCTTCAAGAATGAGAGTGAAAGAGACTACTTTAGTGAAAGGGAGCTTGGCGCGGGGACGACTTGTGCCATTTTAAAATGCAATAATGTTGGCGTATAACCTGTCTATATATTATACGTCATTGTTTTGAAGAAACTAAATGAAAGTAGGTGATTAAAAAATATTCATACAGTGTCTAGGTGGTTTTCGAATTACAGAGCATAATGCGACTCAGTGGCGCACAATGCCGAATTATGCTGATGCTTAATTGGAACATGAATTAGTTTTCAAATGCACCAGCAGAGTGCGCTAAGTTCAGTGTTGAAAAAAAGTCAATATTTGTACCTTCATCCATATTTATATTTATTTTTTTAACACAGTTTGAATTAACTTTGATTATTTAAAAAAAACTATAATGAAACGAAAGTTTTAATAATTTTTCAACAATAAATAATATTACTAACGATAACATATAAATAAAACATTTCGACCAATGCCAACTTAGAGAAAAAACACTTAAATTTTCTGTCTCTGGGGTGGTACGATTGCACGCATAACACGAAGGTTGCTTTCCAATTACAGCATTATTGCGCATTATGCGGCATAATGCTTAGCGTTGAGTGTTCCAACTACAGCAACGCTTCGCACAATTGAGCACTCTCAAAAGTGATGTTATGCCGCATACTGCGCTATACTGCTGTATTTGGAAAGCTACCTACTACATCAAAGTATAGAAATCTGTCTGATTGATAGATGTAGGACAGAACTACAAAAGAGGGCCATCACGGCAGCGAGGGATTCCCTCAGGTAGGGGTAAATAAAACCAAATGGAGTAAATTTTATGTTATAATGAAATGAAATCTGCGATATTGATACTTCAGTATAGTGTTGAAGTTATATCCACTGCCGGATTTAAGGAAGGGCAAAAAGCCCCGGGGCCTCCACAAACGGGGGGCCACAACAATAGAGACTTCGGAAAAAAAATCCAAATCATCAACGATTTTTCGGCGAAAAAAGCTCGAAAGGTACCGTTCGTTAACTCTAAAATTTAATTTCAGATAATTCTTGTTTCCGTTTATATTTATATGTGTTTGTTCAATACTAAGGGAATCTACTTGGTTCACAATAAATTATTTATAGAAAAACTCGACTGAAAAAAAAATGTTTACTTTATTTGGAAAATAATTTGGGGTGAGGGGGCCTCCGCTCCTTTGTTGCCCCGAGGCCTCTGGACCTCTTAATCCGGCCCAGGTTATATCCATCGTCTCCTTGACAAAATATTGGCTAGTATTACAACTTATCTTATGTTTACAGTATTTTCTTTATATTAAAATATCAATCTCTAGAGTGATCATCTTCTGTCTACATTGTAGTAACAGATTTGTAGTAGGTACAAATAAGCTTTGTGCTTTTGTGACGTGAGCTGTCAATTGTGAAAGAAGGCGGAATACCAAACCTAATTTATATAATGACAATTATTTGCATTACTTTTTTCTGTGATTTTTCCTATATTTTAATAGTTCTTCTGCTATTCGGGGCGGAGAGGATTCCAAAAAATCATAATTTTCAAAAAAAAAGGTCCAACCATTCTTGAGTTGTAAGTGTTCCTAAATTTAATTAAGCTAGATAGTAAAGATAGTCACATTTATCGACTTTTATAAAGGCGGTACGCAGTTCGCCGGGTCAGCTAGTGATAATATAATTGCAAAGTATGTACTTAATCACCACATAACTAAGCATTTGTATTTTTCTATATTCGAAATGTAAAATAAATAAATGAAAACGATCGCCGCACATAGGATCGCTGAGCTTTAGACATTTATATTTTTCATTTGATTCAATCCTTTTGACCAGTTTGCAATATCGGTCAAAATACCAAAATAATATATATCTAGATGAGACTCGCATTTAATAGCATTACTTTATTTTTTCGATAAAAATGTGTCAAAACGGTCATCATCATAACGTCATAGCAAAATATAGCCCCAGTTTTTCGGTGTCAGCATATCTAACGATTTAAATCCTTGGGGGCGTGTCGCAAAAAATAAAGAAACAATTATGTGGATTGACTGTATGGACTAACTTACCTTTGCCTTTCTATTGAGAAAATTTCGATGTTGACATTTTTCTTTGAAAATGACATTGACGTTATCTTTATCAACACAACAACAGCACGGTAACTACTCGTGGGTTTAATAATTTATTTTAGAATAATATTGTGCGATCAAAAAATTTAAAACGTTGTACGATATAGTAAAATGGATTTCATAATAGACGCAGCAGGGGACCATAACCTCCATGAAAAGACTGAGTTGTTAGATGAAGAAGAAAAACCATATTTTATAGGTTACTTTATACTCAATTATTAAATCGTAATTAATTTTAACAAAGTACCACTGGTAATAAATACCATTGCACTTTTTCAGATAAAGAAATCCGAACAGAAGCAATTCTCAAAATATTTGAGAAAAAGAAACAAGAGCTTGACATGCAAATTGCTGCGGAAGAAGAGTTGGAGAACAAACTAAAAGGGCTCAAAGTTGATAGCCTCTTTGATGAATTCTTTGAAGAAATGAAATGGAACCACGCTGTGGCTATAAAACAGGAAAAGAAACCGCTGTTCCATTTCGAACAATTAGATGTTGAAACAGGGAAACTCAAATCTAAAATTGGTTCAGTTGATGTGGAAAAAGAGATGCAGAAATCTGTTCTGAAACCTGGTATAGAACAAGAGTACAGTCTGCCGGCCTACACTATCAGCCAGAGGAAGTTAAAAGCAATGAAGAAGGTAAACAAACTATTGATACACATTTTCACAATCTTATTTCAGTAACTTATGTAATTTAATACTCATCTAAAAATGGTTGAACTTTGCAGAAAGAGCGAGAGAAGACGAAAGGACCTAGCTGGTTTAACTTACCAGCCCCTGAAATAACTGATGAATTGAAGAATGATTTGGAAATTCTGAAAATGAGATCAGTGCTTGATCCAAAACACTTTTATAAGAAAAATGATATGGAAGTTCTTCCTAAATACTTCCAGGTAAGTTTATATTTGATATGATAACTAGACTTGCAACAAATAGTATATTCGGCAGTATACCGAATATTCAGCAAGGCCCCTGACCAAATAGCCGAATATTAGGCAAAAGTATTCGGCTGGATTTTAGCACCAAAAACTTCTACAGACGTGATTGTTTTGCGCTCCTTTGTTTTGTTCTAATCTGCCGTCCTCAAGCTAAAATGTGGCTAAATGACAAAACCAACTTTTGAGATATGGCCAAAAACAGTGTGTAAACTATAAATTATTGCTATTATGTAACCATTCATCACATGACTGAATGAATTAAAAACTGTTAACTTGTTTAATACAGAAAATGATTAAATTATGTACCTATTTTATGTACCAACTAGCGGCCCGCCCTCGCTTCGCTTCGGTGTAGAGCTGAAGTGTACACTATAGTTTTTTTTCTCAGGCTTGTATTAAACACAATGACATTCATCTATGATTCTTCTTATACCTGCATGCAAAGTCTCAGCCCGATTGGTTTAAAATTGACAAAGTTTCATACAAACTTTCATTCCCTATTTTATCCCCTTGGGGTAGAATTGATCAAAATCCTTTCTTAGCGGATGCCTACGTCATAACATCTACTTGCATGCCAAACTTCAGCCCGATCCGTCCAGTGGTTTGGGCTGTGCGTTGATAGATCACTATGTCAGTCAGTCCCCTTTGACTTTTATATACACATATAGATAAAAACGGTCATTTTTATTACCTGTATTTATAATCAAACTCAAATTCTCATATTTACGTTATATAATCGGAATGCTCCGAACTGCTAAGCTATCAGGAGTTACACGTGTTATTGTGAGTCAACCATAAAAGATAGACATATGCTGTTGCGGGATATTTTGTAGACAATTTTATGTAGAATATTTTCGTCATACACAATTTCTATGTAACTTTAACCATTAAGGCTGCACACGCGACGGAAGCTGAAAAAATGGAGTAACTTCTCCCGTTTTCCCAACATTTTCCTTCACTACTCTGCTCCTATTGATTATAGCGTGATGAAAAGTATACTATAACCTGCCCAGGAGTATGAAGAATAACTGTTCCAAGTTTCGTTAAAATCCGTCGAGTAGTTTTTGTTTCTATAAGGAACATACACACAGACAGACAGACAGACAGACAAAATTTTTACTGATTGCATTTTTGGCATCAGTATCGATCATTAATCACCCCCTGATAGTTATTTTGAAAATATATTTCATGTACAGAATTGACCTCTCTACAGATTTATTATAAGTATAGATGACTACTTAATAAATGATTATAAAAGAAATGAGAACCTTAACCTTCTAAATTTTGATTACCACAATAATTGATATATGTACATAGAATACTACATTTTTCCAATTCAGAAGATGATTATGTACCTGTGTTATGTACCAATGACTACTTAAATGATTATATAACAGAAATGAAAAAATGAATATAAACGTAATCAATCGATTTAAATTTTTCATTTTACCAGTTATTTCTCTATGACAAAATATATTATTTAAGTATTTGGTATTAGGCCGAATATAATAAAAGCAGCCGAATAGGTGGAATACCGAATAGTAACCGAATATTTGTTGCAAGTCTAGTGATAACCATTTTAAGAGGGCCATTGGTGTCAATTCTGGCATAATTCACACATCTGGTTTTACTTTTTGTCAGGTTGGACGAATAATGGATTCTCCACTGGACCATGTGAATGAAAGATTAAGTAAAAAAGAGAGGAAGAGAACCATGGTTGATGAGTTGTTAGCTGATGCAGAGTTCCAAAAGTATAATAAAAGAAAGTATAAAGAGATAATAGATGAAAAAAGAAAAATGGAATACAGAACTTTCATGAAAGACAAGAGACAGAAGAACAAAGCAGAACAAAAGAAAAACAAATTAAAAGGGAACAAAAAGGCCAAAAGAAGCCAATAAACTTCTTTAAGTTGCTTTCTTGTTGATTTTATTTCAACTGTTTTACATTGTAAGTTATAAAATTAAACACTTAAATATAATGTATGTATATATATTTCGAAATCTGCACCAATCACCACACCAATGAGGTTATAAAATATTAAAATATATATAATGTTTCCCTTTTGCACACTTAAAAATATTTCAACTATACAATATAGCACTATCAACTGTTTATAAAATATCACAGAGTAGAAAGAGGCATCATGGTAGTGGAACTGATAATATGACTAGATTTTCTTTTTCAAAATCCTCCACTGACATCTATGGCTGCTCCTGTGATGAATGAGCTTTTATCAGAGCCCAAGAATGTAATAAGTTCAGCAACCTCTGAAAATGAGAACACAGTTTATGCATTATCTTAGTGTTTAGTATAACAGACGTAAAGGATAAATGGTATGTTCAGTAGTTAGGTGGTGATTTAACATTTTATTTGAATTTAACCTCTATGGCCCATCCCATTCCATCCATAAGAAGGCCTGTGTCTCAGCTGTACGGACAGTAATAGGTTGATGATGGAAACTTCTAGTAGAATAAAATGCAATATATAAAAATTGTAGTAAGTAGTAATTTATAATAAATTACTATAAAAATATTGTAAATAGTAATTTATTACCTACTAGAATAAAAAGTTTTACATGCATTTATATAAATACTATAGGAAGAATTAATATACAATAAATTACATATATTTATACAAATGCGCTTAAAAAAATATTCTAGGACTTCCATCATCAATCTATTAATGTCCGAACATGTTGGTAAGTTTTAATAATATTAGTTAGGAAATTTAAATTGTATATGACAAGCGGCTAGTCTTTTAAAAGAAAATTGAAAATGTTTTATCAGTCAGATCATTAAATAAAAAAGCATTCATTTTTGATGTTTTAAAAGTATAAGAATCACTTAATCAATACCTACCAATGGGCTCACCAATTCTTCCAAGAGGCACCATCTTTATTAGTTTCTCTATCACCTTGTCGGGCACAGTTTCAATGATAGGAGTCTTAATAAATCCTGGTAAAATTGCATTTACTCTACAACAACAAGGAAAGTAATACATTTATAACAAACAAATGTCACAAAAACATGTAAAAAAACTTTAAAAAAAATCTAGAATTCATTCAAAGCACCACATACTGGATACAAGTTTTAGTCTGAACTATCTAAGGGCACATCTAGATGCAGATACACTCCTGATATGTTCCTGATCATCATCATCTTAATATTCATATTTTTAATAAAAAAATTACCATATTACCACTAAAAAGTTAAACATGCATTCAACATGACTTTAAGAAAAAATTACATACAAAATTTTCCCAAACATAGTATAAAACCATATCTTACTTTTTTATAGTAAGACTAAATGTTTAAAATATTTTTCATTGAGAATAATCTTATCACACCCTTGTTAGTTATAGGTACTAGAAGCAATAAACTACAGTTTTGTTATCACTAGATTAAAATACTTATGTGCTGTAGACAACTAAATGTACTGTTGAACCATCCACAATATCTATTGCATTCATTGATTATAATATTACATACCTTATGTTAAACTTTCCTAATTCTTTGGCTGCTGACTGTGACATTGCCACCACACCAGCCTTACTACCAGCATAATTAGATTGTCCTGAAATTATGCAATTATGTATTTACTTCAACAAAGTATTCTTGAAAAATATTTTGCAAGTTAAATTATTTTTTTAAGCCCAAGCACAAATTTTGGCAGCTCTCTAACATCTTGTATCATCAGTTTCTAAGAAAACAAAGCAGCGCCATTACAGGACGTAAGATCAAACTGACTCTTTCCATACAAAATTTGACAATGACAACATGATTCTGGAACGGACGAAGTTTGTGCTTAGGCCTCGGATGGTGTATTAAACAAACCTAAGTTTCCATATTTTCCTACAATGCTGGAAATGTTAACTATAGAGCCAGGCACTTGTGCCTCGGTCATTATTCTAGAAAATGCTTGCATCACCAAAAAAGTACCCTGAAAGTCAAAATATCAGAATGTCTTTAAAAACGTCCCATTAATATAATAAATAGTATTTGCAATAGCAATTGCAGAAAATCAACTGAAAACAGGTGTTTGGCTCACACTATTTCAGTATATGAATTATAACACACTTTTTATCCTGGAAGTGAATGACTTTGTGATAAATATTACTAATTAAATATAGTTGTTTTACAAACCTTCAAGTTGACATTCAGTACAGCATTGTAGTCATCTTCTGACATCTTCAATATCCAGTTATCTCTAGTGATACCCGCTGAGTTCACCACAATTGTTGGTGGTGCTTTGTACTGGCTTGTTACAGTTTGCACTAGATTCTGTACTGATTTGGAATCAGATACATCTAACTCAATAGCACTGTGGTCTCCAACAGCTGTAAGAACAAATATTAAACTGAATATTTTAGGAGCAACTGAGTGGAAGACTAGTTTGCATTCAGTAGTAAATATTCATAAGGCAAATCATTACGAAAAAGGATAAATTGATAAATAAAAACTTTTGAAGTCAAAGCTTTTTGTCAGTACTTACAGACATGAAAAAATTTACTAAAACTTCTGATTGAAGCTGTTTCAAAGTTAAATAATTTATATGTATTTAATAAAATACAATTAGCTTAACTGTATCTCTTTTGGGGTAGGAAATTGTTACATAGGTATATAAATATGTACCATTAGATCCTGATGCCAGGGCAGTGTGAGTCTTGATGGTTTCCACAGCAGCATTATAATTCTTATCAGCAGCAATAACTGTAGCACCTTCACGTGATAGTACCTGACATGCTGCTCTGCCTATGCCAGAGCCAGCACCTGTTAAAGATTTAAAGATCATGAAAGTAATTCATACCTGAACTCGCAAGAAACACAATAAATTTAAAGAAAAATGTTACACACCAGTTACGATTGCAAGTCTTCCAGCTACTATTCCAGTGGCCATTTTGATATGTAATGTATATTAATAATTAACTGATAAAAAAATTAAATACACAAGGTATGAATTATTAACTTCTATCAAAGTTTGACTTTGAACTTTTGTATTTACTTGACATTGACTTCACCGTACCTACCGATTATGATTACAGAGAAAGCCGGCACTTCACTTGACTATTCGTGTTTGCTCCTTCTAAACTTGTTAACAGACAATCTGTCCTTTTCAATACATAATAAAGACAGACTGTTGTCCAGTTTACCAATAGCAAACACAAATAACCAAGTGAGGTGCCAGCAATCCAGTTAGCATGTTTGAGTTGACCCCGAAAACATAAAGTTCAGTTAGTCTGGTCTTTCGCGCACGGTACTTTTTTTGTGGTTCTGTGTAATCAAATTAAATACTTATTTAACTCTCAAACTGTATGTTTTTGTTCTTATAAATGGTTGTCGGAGAAAACTACCATTTGTTTTTTTTTATGACTAATGGTAAAACTAGGCTGTATGGGTATTAAACCCTTTGCCTTACTTAAACTGAAAAATTTAGAAAAAGTTAAGTTTCTTTTTTTCAGTGCTGCCAACTTAGCACTTTTCGCGCCAGATCTAGCGCTTTTTTTTGTGTCCAAGCGCGTTTTAGCGCCTAGCGCCAAATCTACCGCTTTGTCAAATTATATTTTATGAAACTGTATTACTTAATACAGCGTAAATCACAGTAATTACCAGTACTTAATATAATAATTACTTAGGTACTACCAACATTAGTGTCGATTCTGGCATAATCCTCTAAACCTTAACTTAAATTTGACAACAGTGGTGTCGATTCTGGCATGATTCTCTAAAGCTAAACTTAAATTTGACAACAGTGCATCCCTGTCACTCTCTATACAGAATGAAAAGGAGAGACTGATGTTAAATTTAATTTTAAGTTTAGAGAATCACGCCAGAATCGACACCAGTGTATCCGTCATTCTCTATACAGAATGAAAAGCACATTGGGCAAAAATGTATGGACACTGCACCCACGTCCGCCACGGCTTAAACTACATTTGTTTGAAAGTTATTATAGTCAAGATCATTTGTGCCAAAGTGCATCAAATTCCATCTCGGGGATCTTTAGTTATTTTAAGTTAAACATGTAGAAGTACTATAACGAACGTACATTAATGAAACAAGGGAATTAATTTAGTTAGTTAGTTCGACCCTACATAGGCTGCTCAGGAGTTATGGGAGTACTTCATAAGGTGCAGGGGTACCCGTTTATGTTATTCTGCCGCGCTAGAGTAAATTCAAAAGTCCATGCATGAGTTGGGTTCTTTTAGCATTCTGTTCGCTATAGTAAATTGTCTTCGGGTGCGGCCAGAGTGCACTCAGATTCAAATTCAGATTCCGAAAACAAGCGCGAGAAATAAACAGTGTAGTCGAAGGGTACGGTACAGAATGCACTCCTGATTCAGATTCAGATTCAGACTCAGAAAACAAAACGCGAGAAAAAGCAGGCAACCTGCTTAGACTACACTGTTTATTTCTCGCGCTTGTTTTCAGAATCTGAATCTGAATCTGAGTGCACTCTGGCCGCACCCTTCTATGTAAAACGGAGCGACCACAGATTACTCAAACTTGTCCACGCTTCGGAGAACACATAATTCTAGTTTATCCATACAAATTGAAAAAACCGATAATCGTGCTCCAATATCCAAAGCGTGTTAGATAAAAATCAATCAAGTAGCAGGGAGCGCACAATCACAACGAAGTGAGACGAGTGGACTATTTGCAACTGCAAGTCCTTTGACATTCGTAAACCATTTTGAAATGTCTCAGTAAGAGCAAGCGCAGGATGGTTGGCAGGCTTTGTCGTATATCTGGTTGTATAGTACGATATGGCATATTATTATGATTACTAATAATATAAAATGAAGGTATTATAAAATGAATTTATTCAGCTACTTAAATATGCCCATGTGTCATATCTATTGACTACCAAGATATTTTTTACGGCATCATATCTTTTGACTCCCAGGATATTTATTTTCGGTGTCATAATAAAAAAGGCTAGTTTTTCATAGATCTATCGATTCATACTAATAACATTGTTGGCGGAGCTGGGTGCGTTTTGCCCATTGTCCTTTAGTTTAAGTTTAGAGAATCATGCCAGAATCGACACTGGTGTCGATTCTAGCATGATTCTCTAAATCTAAACTTAAATTTGACAGCAGTATATCCTTGTCATTCTCTATACAGAATGAAAAGGAGAGACTGATGTTAAATTTAGTTTTAAGTTTAGAGAATCACGCCAGAATTGACACCACTATAGACAAACAAAAAAAGTCCATGTTTTAATCAGAGAGTTATCATCAATGACAACGATTTGTCTCGTGGTGTTCACCTAGTGCAGGGGTTCCCTAAGTGTGCGCCGCGGCGCCCTGGTGCGCCGTAGAAAGTACAGAAGGGCGCCGTGAGTCGATCCTCTAATTATTGGACACCACAAATATTGGCGGATAAAGGAACCGTTTGGGGTATCTTGTGATGAATACTTTTGAAATTTTTAACAAAATTCAGACCGACCGCAAAAACAACTTTGTAATGCCATACATTACAAAGCTGCTGGGTTTTCAGCTGTAGCTGTGATAAAGAACAAATATCGCTCAAAGATCAATGTTGAGAAAGAAATGAGAGTAGCAGTGTCAAGTCTTATTCCCCGCTTTGAAAAACTCTGCGGAGATCACCGAGCTCACCCTTCACATTGATTTTCCTGAGTAAATATCGTATTAAATTTTTGTTTTTTCTTAAGTCTTTCTTGTTGTTTTCCGTTCAAATTCTATTATAATAAAAAAACAACTTTATATTGTGGTGTGGTGTTTTAATTTTCGTTATGATCAACCTAACTTAACTACTATTGTAGTAGGTACTTATTTCTGTCTATTATTTTCCTCAAATAGTTAACTAGGACAGAGCGCCGTGAAAAAATATTAAACTTGTAACCATGTAACTGCGCCGCGGGTTACAAAAGATTGGGAACCCCTGACCTAGCGTATTATTTTCTATTCGATATATAAAATAGTAAAACCACTTGGCGCGAAATATAGCGCTTTTTTCTAAAAGCCATTTTAGCGCTTTTTGCTTTTTTTATAGCACTGACATTGACAGCGCGTTTTCGCTAAAACTAGTTGGCAGCACTGCTTTTCCCGCCCGCTTTGTTGTTTTCCGTTTTAAGTTAATTATTTGTTTGTATTTTTATTATAATATTTCTGCGCTATTTACTCAGTAGATCATAATCGGTTGGTAATCAAGATCATTTCTAATATGATTTATCAAACAAATAATGTATCAAGCCTATAAAACTTTTCCGTGTGTGGAAGTGTAATAAAGTCCTTCAAGTCAAGAAAACTACTATGGCAAAGTAAAATACGTCTCATTGCCTACATTAAGTATCAGTGAACAAAATCTCTATAATCCGATATTCCTAACTAAACATGTCTCTCTATACTGGTTATTGCCAAACGTTCGTTCTCATATTTGCATTTGCCTTAGCATCAAAATATTATTACAATAATTATTATACGAAGAATAGGAAACAAACCAAGAAGGAAATACATGAGGTTATCATGTTCTCACACGGCACAGGAGTTCTTAAAAAAAGCAAATACTCTAGATGTATGATAACGCAGAGTATGGATAGATTGTTGTTCTACCTGAGCACTCCAAGGTATTCTTTGGACATATGCATGTATGTATTTACTAACTTGGACTTGGCCAACGCTATCATTAAGCTACATTACAAAGGTGTTAAAATAAGGATGATAATTGATGCCGACATGGCCTACTGCAGTGGTTCTAATGTAAAGAGATTGGAGAAGCTGGGGGTACCAGTAAGATGGATGAAATCTACAAATTTGATGCATCACAAGTTTTGCCTCATAGACACACAGTCTGGAGATGCTGACACAACTTCTTTATTTATAGGAGGTTCTTTGAATTGGACAAATCAAGCATTGCATGGTAATTGGGAAGATGTGCTGGTTACATCACAAGAAGAAATTGTGTGTCAATACAAAGCTGAATATGAAAGACTATGGAGTATGTTTAGGCCAGTGATAGATTTACTGTGATTTAATATGATGAGATGAGATACATGGTTGCATTTGAATGATCAGTCAGTGGCGGTGTTAGTCTATGCAGCTTCAGAGTATTAGACACCTCTTGGGAGTTTCAGGAATTATTTTCAATGAAGCAGGGGTGTCCCCACGCTGTGTCTCATAGGATCAGGCCCCCAACTGCATTGCATATTTGTGTAATAAGAAATGCCTCCACTGAAACAATTAAAATGTTAAATACATTTTCTTTTTTCTAATGCAGTATTGTTACTATTTTTAAGTGTAGAAATGTGATTTGTATTTGGTGCTGTTTCGACAACTGTATGTTACTCGGTGCATACGTGTTTAAGTTTTACTAATATATATTTTTTTCTCTATTAAAAATACATAGTGTACTTATTGGCAATGCATATGAGCTAATTTAATTACCATCCAAAATTATGGAGAAATATTTACATCAACAATTGCTTAGTAAATAGCATAGCTGAGCAGATTGAAGTTCCATAAATATTATAATATTTATATATGTATGTTTGATAATAATTGCAAAGCTTTTGAAGTGAAAACTTCTTTAGCACCATTGTGATTTGAGAATCGAGGAAACGGAAGTAGATATTTGACACAAGATACTTAGGTATTCATAATTTATTCATTAACCATAAGAGACGGATAGCCAAACTGTAACGGTCTTGGGATCGACACTAACTGATTGGTAACTGACTTCCCAAACAAACTAAATCTGGCAAATACGGAGGGTGTGGCAATAATTCGTATCCTAATTCGGCAATTTTTGATGTCGCGCTTGCAGACGAGTGGGCCGGTACATTATCCTGATGAAATAGAATTTTTTTCTTTGCTAGATGCGGTTGTTTCCTGATCAACTTTTTATTGAATCTATCTAACAATGCAGCATAGTAAGTTCCGTTTATTGTCTTGCCTTTATCCAAAAAATCCGATTTAAATAACCCCTTGGCTGTCCCAAAAGACTGGTCATCACTTTACCAGCCGAGCAAACAGTTTTTGCCTCCTTTGGGGCACGTTCCCTGGTAGAAGTCCATTGCTTCGACTGTTGCTTAATCTCTGGTGTATAATGATGGACCCACGTTTCGTCAACTTATGTACAAATAAACACGAAAAAATTGTGTTTAATTAGCACTCGAAACTCGCTCTTCTCCATTTTCAAAGAATACTTACAAGTCGCCTAACTTTCTTGTTTCTAAAAAGCTTGTCTTCGCACCAAATTTGAAAAAATAACGACATGCACTTCGTAGTGAGTTTCCAAATATGAGACAAAAAATATATATAAAAAAAGTTTTTATTCAACCTTAAAGTCATTGAGTTGCCAAACTGCCCTCGTAATGAGAAAAGAGTGTTTTCTACAAAATTGGGGTTAATTCGGTTGAAAAGTTCACGACGACGCGACGCGACGTCACCATTATTCGCGGAACGCGTGCTATGCAAACTGATGTAAAAATGTAAAGTTCAGAGAGCACTGCATTTTTAATCACAACGACATCTACATATTTTGGCTAAACTAAAGAGACCACAAGCAGCGATAAGGATGCTTTCTAAAGTGTGCTAATGAGCAAAAAATAGATCCTCGGACGTTTGACTGGATTTTTTTTATGACACAAGTGTCATGGGGCATTTGGGAGAAAAAGCATCATAATAATTGTAGTGTTTTGTATACGTGTACGTATTATACGTTTGTAGAGGTTTTTCATCATTTTCAAGCAAAAGAAAGGCAGTGTTTTTGTAATCAATCAACCATGTATCCTGTGCCGGGTTCGATCCCCGGTCGGATCAACATATAAAATTGCCTTTTTTTCTCGGATTTAGCAAATTTTTTTTATCGTAGTTTTTTCTGATTCCCTTAATACAAAAGCTTCAATTAATTAATTTTGAATAGTAATAAAATGTACATGATTGACGTTGTACAATATTAATTTAATGGATATCGTCTGATATGTTTATTAAATTCTTGCTCGTTAATCGCTACATAGCTTCTATCTAATCTTTGTAAAGTATGTATATAATTTGTTTTATTCGTTTTAGTACCGCCATCTGTTTCATTCGCCATCATTAAAATAGTTTGCTTAAAATTCCTTAGATGGAGCGTGCGATCGCAAGCACATTTATGAAACTTGGTGTAAGTAATAAAGCTATTTTTTTTTGTTTGCGAAAAATATAACTTAAATTAAATAGTATATTAATGTTTCCATATAGTGATTAGTTTAATAATGTCTTTAAACATAACGCGCATTTTTTTTCTTTTATTGTCATGAAAGACTTTCACGTGTTCATTTTTGTTGGTTTCACTTCTATAGCATTTTTTATATATAGTTATATTTTAGTAATATAATAATCCATTCTAAACTCCAATGGCAACAAAAGCAAACTTATTAGGCTATTTTAATGGCCTTAGGTGTGATAAGTTTTAAAGTAAAAGCTAGATCTGAGATGTAAAATTGTAAAAATAATATTTTTCTTATTTACTTACGTAAGTGTAACAAAAAAATTAACCATGATATAAATATTTTATTAAATGTGAATTATGTTTTTTATTTTTTATTAAAGTAAGTATACCCAAGATTAATGTGTAGGAACTCGAAACATTAACTTTAAGCCTTGATAACATGGGGCGAGTTTACAAACTACAAGCAGAACCAACTTGATCGTCCGCGGCCGGTTTATCAATACTACACAAACACCTACATTAGAATGTGTGTGTCACAATCACAACACAATATCAATCAGACAGATTTCTTTACCTTCATATAGACACTGAATGAATATTTTTTATTCACCTACGTTTGATAGGGGCGGGAGGGGGTGGGGTGGTCAGGTACTTATGACTGTAGAGTTTAGAGTGAAATAATTTTATAAGCTTCGATAGAATAAACAACAAGCAGAAGTGGTCTACATGAAGAAGCATCCTCGGGAGCTTTTCCGATGTGATGGCCATTTTCATTTGTGCTAATATTATCTGTTATAATTTTAATGTACCACAGAGAAAGAGTGACAACTCTCAAAACTAAGAAGAATCTAACCACACCTCTCGAACCTAAATCAATTAAACCATTAAGGACCACCCGCCAGGTGCTTATGACTGTAGAGTTTAGACTGAAATAGTTTTTAAAGTGTTTCCGAACTGTCATAGTAATATGACAGTTCGGAATCACTTTAAAAACTATATCCATAAGCTTCGATAGAATAAGCAACAAGCAGAAGTGGTCTACAGGAAGAAGCATCCTCGGGAGCTTTTCCGATGTGATGACCATTTTTATTTGTGCTACGTAATATTGAATCGTACAAAGATCTGTCACCCTGGGCCTGCAATTTCTAAGGCCGCCACTGTTTAGGCCTGATATTATTTTATTACCACCTGCGTCATAGCACACATATCAACTCTGAAAGGGATCGACACCGACTCACCTTTCGGATTGCCGATTTCGTAAACGGAGCATCTCCAGTACTTTCGGATCGGCGACTGCGCTGCGCTTACGACCCGCCGACCTCTGGTTGATGACTGGGCGGCACCAGTTCGATCAGTCATAGAGAAAGTAACCACTCCGTTTAGAGAATCGGCATCTAAAACGGAGCGGTTACTTTTTCTATAGACTGCAAGTTCAGCAGCGCAGGCCGCCGGAGGTGCGTGAACGAAGAAACGTAATCTAGGATACGGAGAGACGTAGGCCAGCTACGGAGAGACGTAATCTAGGCTACCTAGAGACGTAAGCTAGGGTACGGAGAGTTGACCATGCACGTTCGGGAGCTGATCCCAAGCCGAGGCAATAATGTTAAGATTCCATTAAATCCCTTCCCGAGTTGATATACTATACTTACGACCATAAAGGTGAAAATATTTACTTTGATAGCGAAAGCTACGGATGCTCAGAAATTTTACCTCTAGTAGCTGTAGTCCGGTTGTTAGTCTGGAATACCAAACTACTGAAACTTTTCAGTTGCGATAGTTCGCTTGTACGGTTGTATAAACGTTGTACACTTCACCCAGACTCACAACACTGACCTACTGACACAAGGTGATGCTGAATAGTTCGGGTGACGTGTACAACCGAACTATCACAATTGAAAAGTTTCAGTAGTACGGTCAACCGGACTACTGCTCCTAGAGGAAATTTTATATTTAATATAAGATCGTTCTATTTTTGATACACAATGAAAAAAACTTTTATATTTTCTATTATTTTAATGACGAGCTTAAATAAAATTACATGATGAAATCATAATGTTATATTATTAATGCTAAAATCATGGGGTCTTAATCTTAAATTCAAATTATAGGAACTGTGATGTGCAGATGGTAAAGACCCGCCATATCCACTTATGATGCCACAAGATCCATACGAATTCTCCGCGGCATTACCGTAGCCTACCATACTTTGGCTCATTAGACTATTGGAGTTCGGAACGTACTGTCTAGTTCCCATGTTCTGCATCATCAAGGAATAATCGTTTTGGTAAAGGCTGGAATTAGTAATTGGAATGCCAATGTTTAAATTCAAATTGTTGGCCGGGAAGTGATGGAGCCAAGGCTCCTTAGCTCTCGTTAAATCTTGTCTTGTGTCCTGGTGAGAAATTCCAATGGGGACAGGCATCGGTTCCGGAGAACTGTGGCTGGTCGTAGATCTGTGATTGGACAAAGCGGAGCGTTCGTTTCTTCGAAATTTGGCTCGTCTGTTTTGAAACCAGACCTGTGTGAATGAAGCAAAGAATGTTAACTTTAGTGATTCTATGAATCCTATCAATGTAAGTGTAGTGATTTTTCATATCATTATCAACAAAAGCCAACTAAATTGGATAAGGATAATAAAATTAAACAACAAAGCATACATGAACTGTGCTCAAATTACAGATAAATAGATAAGTTTTAATGTTAGTAACCATATTTTGTTATCTTTTTTAAATTATCTATCAATCTCAACTGCTGTAGACTTAATGAGACTTGTATGATAAGGAATGACTATTTTTGCTTGTTTGATTAATGTGATTGAATAATAACTATGAAAATATTATTTCAAAATTACAGCATTAGGTAACTATATGCGTAAATTTAGGCGATAAAAGTGTATAAAACGTTCCTCCCATATCAACTTTAGGAATTGGTTGGTGTGAATGCAAAGTTGGCAACTTGTCAGCCAATTAAAGCCACCAAATATGAGTTGTCTGTCGAAAGACTTTATTTTTCTATACGAGAAAGTATAGCAGCTGATGAATTATATATAATGTCTGTG